ACTCATTCAGACTTCAAACGCGTGTGAGAAGTTGTTTAATGACGGGAGGATGAATTGTGCGTTGCGGGGAGAGGGTTGGAGGTGAGTCGATATTTCAGCCTTATTTTGACTTGGATGGGGCGAGCACGTCCAAGGCTGAGGGTACCATCGTCGCTCGTGACGGCTTCATCCGGGGGTAATCCCTTCCGAGAAATCGAGCTCATCCGACTTCGGGTGGGGGCGAAAGGAATGGAGGAATGATGCGAGTTGACAGCTTCCAGACGGAGCTGACACGAGAAGTTTCCAGCAAAAATTGAATTTTTGAGATAAGACTTCGAGGCGACTCGTGAGATCTTCTCCCGGAATAGACTGGAATTTTCCGTCACCGATATGCTTATCAAGGTCACTTTCGCCTCTGAGCAATTCCTATCGTGGAGCAGCCAGGAAAGGCCCAGAGAGCAGACGATAGCGTCATGGTGAAATCAGAGTCACGCGCACGCTTGTTTCCGAGAATCCAGCCAGCGGTCGCCGGCGGAGATCCCGATCCCCCCGGGGAAGGAGGTGTCCTGTTACGTCATTGGTCGGTGGGGTCCCCAGAGGGGGCTCGGGATGGATGGATCCCGTTGTACGAAGACACGGGCGAAGCGGAGAATCTGGAGGTTTATGTGTGCGTGCTCGGGAGGGGTCTGTAAACGTAGTGCGAATGAATGAAGGAGAGTGAATTGGATAATAATGGGAAGCCGGCCCTTTACGTTCATTGACTGCATGCGGCCTTCCCCTCTCCTTCGCGTCCACGAGCCTTTTTCTTCCCTTTTTTTCCCTCTTTGGCTTCTCGGGACGATCGAATTCGGCTGCGTTCTCGTCCCGGAATCCCCCGATAAAGCGGGTTCTTCCAATGAAACGTGACGCGCAGAAGAGTTCCCGTGAATCGATCGAATTCTCTGGGGGCACGACAACCGAGTAGAAAAATAAAAACTGGGAACGGCGCACGCTTCGGTTAATACAAAATCTCCGGGAACTGCCGACCGGTTGAAATTCGGCCGAAGGAAAAAAACGCAAGCCATCTGAGACTCGAGAAGGGAACATCATTCTCATCCCTGACACATTGCCCTTGACCTAACTACGGTGAAAGTATTCTCACCAGCTGCTAATTTCACCTGTGTGAGCAGAGCTAATATCATTTTGCAGTTGAGCAAGCATGCCGCACGAGGCATCGGCCAAGGCCGTTCGGAGTCTGCATAACTCAAGTTGCTCAAAAAGATTCCTCGTAACTGACCGGCCGGCAAGTACGAATGAAGTTTTCGGGGGAAAAAACTCACGTGATCGCCACGAAATGGGAGAAAACTTGGAGAGAATTTCGCAGTGAACACTCGAGGACAGCCTTCACTCTGGACCGCCGAGAAAACACTGGATGTTTGTTATCTCTCTCACTAGAGAGCAGGCCACTCGCAACAGTAGAGGTCTGCACCGAGTCTCCCGAAACCTTCCGACCAGCGGCCCGACCCCTGGAAGCCCTCGCGCCCGCGGGCCACGAAGGACCTCCACGCAGACCTCTAGCGATATCCCGAGGACTCCTTGTTGTGTGCGGTCGAGGGAAGGTCGATCTCAGCTCGTCGTCTGCCACGCCGGTTTACTTAGGGTTTTCACGTGCCTCTCGACCTACTTGGAAAAGGTAGGATAGGCCTAAGTTATGGAGTTATTTTGAGGTTCCTTTCTCCATTCTCTGGGTCAATTTCATACCCGAAGTTGTGTTGAGCCATGTTTCGGTCATGTATTATACTTGTAGGACTTGTCGAAAAATTCGCCTGGCAAAAGGAGATTTGGATTACATTTTCAGAGTTAAATCTGGTTCAGCAAATGATTTTTATTCAGTGCTGCGCCGGGAAGTAACCCATACTATCCAACTAGGATAGTCTACAGCTGTGCTGTACCTGTAAGCACTCATCTTAGTGATTTGGTGCCAGCAGCTTTGAAGGCCTACTGTCTGACTGTCATGCAATCAGGGCTGTCCAGAAGGAGGGGGGGGGCAATTGGGGTAATCTGCCCCGGGCCCCTTGTATCAAGGGGTCCCCAGGGGGGGTCTCCAGTTTATTTTTGCCCTGGGCCCCTGGAAACCTCTGGGCAGCCTTGCATGTAGTCTTTGTATGATGAACTTTATCAGTTGTGATGCATGAGCCAAACTAGAAGGGCATGTGCAAAATGCACATTTAACTAATGTCCCCTCTCTTAGTAATGTAGGTCTGATTTAAAATTGCCACCACATATCTTTCATGTTGTAATAAGAATTCATGTAATTATATAAATATATTCATATTTGCAGGCCTGAAGCCTTTGTAGTACCTCCTCCTACCTCATCTTCATCCAAGATCTGACCATCTTTGGTGGATATTCTGAAGTTGGCATTGAAGCTTCATTCCTGAGACAAACATGCCTGAGAGGAAGTTTTTTGTTGGTGGAAACTGGAAGATGAATGGGAGCAAGAAGGAAATTGATGAAATCATTGCATTCCTTAAAGCCGGCCCTCTGGACGAACACACAGGTCGAGCTGGGCTCTGGCATCTCGAATGCTGAGAGACGACAGGGCATTTTCCTGTGGTGTGCTGATGGGTTTCTGTTGTTTCTTTCTGCAGAGGTGGTTTGTGCCCCTCCATCCATATACCTGGACTACACTCATCAGCACCTCCCAGGCACCATTGGACTGGCAGCCCAGAACTGCTACAAGGTGGCCAAAGGGGCCTTCACAGGAGAGATCTCCCCAGCCATGATCAAGGATGTCGGCGTCCACTGGGTCATCCTCGGCCATTCGGAGAGGAGACACATCTTGGGAGAGTCGGATCTGCTGGTGGCCGAGAAGGTGGAGCACTCGCTGGCCCAAGGCCTGGGCGTGATCGCCTGCATCGGGGAGACGCTGTCGGAGAGGGAGGCGGGGAAGACGTCCGAGGTCGTCTTCAGGCAGACCAAGGCGATCGCAGACAAAGTGACTGCCAGCGGCTGGGATCACGTCGTCCTCGCCTACGAGCCGGTCTGGGCCATCGGCACGGGGAAAACTGCCACTCCACAGCAGGCAAGGCTGAATATTTAGAGTCTGGGAATGTTTTCATTGATGTGTGATTCCAGTCTTTAAGTAATTCTTGCTTGGAGTAGGTCATTACCATTTTCAGAAAGGTAAAGAATCTACCTGAGATAGTGTATAGACTTTGAAAGCTTGAAAGGTAGTTGGTTTGTTCTGTTAGGCCTGCTAGCACAACTTCAACTTCTCTCTTCCCTTGCCACTGCCAGTTTTCAGATCTTGACTTTCATTATCAATATCTGTAATTATTTGTTAACTAGGCATGGAAGGCAATGACTCTGGTAGTTCCTCATTCCATTGAATGAGAAGCTTCCATCAACTAATGCATTTCAAGTAAAGGAAATTAAACTTTTGTTAGGAAGAACTGAAGCAAAATGTCTTTTGGATGAAGTTCTGCATGTGGATTCTCTTCAAAGGCTTGTAAAACCATGCTAAAACCATGTCTAGCTAAAACCATGAAACTGGCTGTTATCTCAGGGTGTTGGAAATCAGGAGTGTGCCAATTGGTGAATATACTTGAATTTTCTGACTTGACTGTGCCCTCAGGCCCAAGAGGTGCACGCCGAGCTGCGAAAATGGATGTCGGAGAACGTCTCGCCCGACGTGAGCGCCAAGATCAGGATCATCTACGGAGGGTCCGTGACGGCCGGCAACTGCAAGGAGCTGGCCCGCGAGTCCGACATCGACGGCTTCCTCGTCGGTGGAGCCTCGCTCAAGCCCGACTTCGTCCAGATCGTCAACGCCCGAAAATGAGATCCAAAGTCCTTGCGCTCCTCTCCGTTCTGAACCCCAATCGTTCTCTGTAGGCTTGTAACTGGAAGATCTTCTCCCCTTCTGTGCAATTTCGCTCTCAGAATGTTGTAAAGTTGAATCTCCTCTAGTCCCTCGTCTGTTTGTGTGCAATATCTTCATATTCTGCGTGAAAGGAATGTCATGATGATTTTAGGATTAAAGCAGTATGTCTGATGCTCTGAATTCTGCTGTTCTCATTGAACATCAGTAGCCTTCTGAAGAAACATGGCATCTCATATTCATATGCCTTCATATAACCATTTTATATTAATTTTCAGCTGAATGAAATACTGATCTAAGGATTAAATCCTGCCTGCAGGATAACATGTGGCCAAAAAGTTGTTTTAAACCAAATTCCAACAAGGTATGGTCGGTTGCTTATGAAATGTAACTCGGCAGAAAAAGGGCTTGCCTGAAGCATGGGAATTTTGACTAAAATAAGTTGATGCATTATCATATAACTCTTTCAGACCTGAATTAAGGCCAGTATCTGAATAATATCCTTTTTTGCATTTTTGAACTATTTTTGCAATTATAATATACATTTTTAGCTT